CATCTCGATTTTATTAGGTTTGTTGAGGATTCCCAACCTTTCATCTTACTTGGATCTACAATCAACACTCTTGATAGTAGCAGTCAAGAAATCAAAAGATGCATTGCATTAGGCAAGTCTGCTGTCCAGGACCTCTCCAAAATACTAAGGAGCAAAAATGTCAGTTTAAAGAGTAAGGTGTGCCTGATTTAAACCGTGGTCTCTTTTTAATCACTTGCTACTCATCTGAGAGCTGGACAATGAATAAGGATGACAAAAGCAGAACCAATGCTTTCGAGTTGTGGTGTTGGAGAAGACTGCAAATAGAATGAACAGATATGTCTTGGAGAAAGTGCCGCCACTGTATTCCTTAGAGGTGATGATGGTGAAGCTTTGTCTAGCAGATTTTGGCATGTTTAAGAAGGGATATTCTTTGGAAAAGGACATCAGGTTCAGCGAAGGAGAGGAAGACCCTTAACAAAATGGACTCAGGTATGTTAAGATATCAGAATAGCACAGGATAGGACAGGGTTAAAATCTGTTGTTTATAGGGTCGCTATACATCTTGACTTGATAGCACATAATAACAAATATAAAGCAGAATCACAATTTTCTCAAGATTGCAACTTTGAAGGCTAAAACCTGGATGATTTGGAGCAGAGCATTTGTTTATAGAGAATATAAATGTATACCTTGATAGCATTAATTCTTTACCTACTCTCTCCTCATTAAGCACTATGGATGAAGAAAGGTGGAAAGCTGTTAGAATATACCAGAGGGGAAAAAAATTATACTATAGAATATTAAAAAACCTTGTGTTGATATATATATATATATATATATATATATATATATATAAATAATCATAACTTCCAATTGCTCAGTTATTTCCAGTGTGAGATGGCATAAAAAGATCTGGAAGCTACACTGAAACTGTTCAAAGGAAGTTGTTCCTTAAGGGTGGGGGTTGGTGTGGGATAAAATAATTAGAAAAGGTCCTTCCATTTTTACTACTTTAAACACTTTAGGATTGCTTGTTTTAAAATAATGAAAACTTTTATTACTTGATAATTAAAGTACAACAAAGAAAAATCATTAAAGTGAAAACAGAGATAAGATCTGTATAAGGATTTAGTAAGAATATAAACCTCTGTCAATCAAATAGAGTAAGGATAACTAAAAAGTATTTTAATGAATAGCTTTTCATGTTAATGATAGTAAATTATTTTTTATAATTTCCTAGGAAATTTCTTGAAGAGTAAGTACTAAAAGAAAATGGGGAAATATAGTTTGGTTCATGCATATAAGAGATCAGACAGGGATTAAAATGATTTTGTACAGAATTTCAAATGAAATAATAACAAAGAAGTGAGAAAAGCAAAATCAAGAACTATTTAAAGTATGGTATCATCCACCTACTGATTCATTTATTTACAGAAGGAAATTCATTAAGATAAAAGATGTCTCTCCATCACAACAAGATAAAAGTAAACAATCCAATTGAAAAATGGGCACAGGATATGAACAGACACTTCACCAAAGAAGACATTCAGATGGCCAACAAGCACATGAAGAAATG